GAGCTGGAGGGGGATGGGGGAAAAGCAAGGTATCTTTCAAAATAAAAGCATATTAAATGGTAAATGGTTTGAATTAAAGCTCGTGAGATTTGTGCCAGGAGCGAGAAGGATGGACAGGAATAGGAGAGAGTATATCAGAGGGACAGCTCAGAGACCAGGCGAGAGAGGCCAGATTGAATTGGTTTATGTGAAAGAGCAGTGAGCTCCTCCTGTGGCCTGTGAGCAGGATAATGACGACGGAGCTGCCAGGAAAAGAGAAAGGCCGAGGAGGAAATTTCTGGATGTACTTAGAGCGGACATTCAGGAAGTAAAATATGGAAATCAATGATTTGCTGTGTGATCGGAAGAATAGTTAAAATGCAATTTGTCTGCACTTTTAACCTTAGCTGTTCTACACAGCTCTTTAAAATGCATTTCTTATTCAGTCATTCACACACACAGAGCTGCAATGCAAAGCTGCTACTGGTGCAACTTCAGCGTTTGGCCTTCATGTTTTCAGCATGCAGAGCAGCTGGGGATCAAAGCACCAATCCACCACAATCCAGAAGCTGATTCACAGGAGACCAGCATTATCACTCGGCCTCTCTATGCGGTGGAATATGCACGGTGAGCGGTGTGTGTCAGGAGAAAAATAAGACGGGGGAAATTGTATGACGCAAAAATATAGAAATCACTAAATCAAAGTCGTGACACTGACATCAAAATCCAAGTCCAACAAATAACCTCATTCAAAATGTAATAGATCCCACTTGTGACTCATCTGTGCTGTGAAATGCGAGGTGAACTTTGTTCCCTGTTGGAGCGACGGTGCAGTGACAGCAGTGAGAATGAACTGAGGGGGCTAGAATCAGCTGTATTAAACATGTCTGGCTTTCCGCTGCTCCTCTCTCTGCTGCACGTTAACATTTGCACTGCCTTGAATACTTCGTGCTCAATACCCATCCCTAGGTATGTGTCAAAGTAACATTTCGGCAGCAGACGAGGGTCAGCATGGGCACCTTGATTGGTCCTTATTAGCTCGTGTGGTGGATCGGACCTCACGAGCCACTTTTCGCGCCACCCAGGACTCTGTCGCTGCTTCACCACTGTTCCCTCGTTGGACAACCTTTGATTGATCCTGACCAGTGCAGACTGGGAACGCCCCACAAGAGCTGAAGATGTGGACATGTTCTGATGCATTCATCAGGCAAAATGTTCACCCACCCACTAACAGGTGCCATGATGAGGAGATAATCAGCGTTATTCACCACCTGTCAGTGATTCTATGACTGATCAGTGCATGTATGTGT